GATATTTGAAAACTCACTTATTCACCTCCCCCTTCCTTTAGATTGTAAGCTCCACGAGCAGGGCCCTCCTATTGCTTCTGTACTGAAATGTATTGTCATTGTACTGTCTTCCTTATATTGTAAAGAGCTGTGCAAACTGTTGGTGCTATATAAATCCTGTATTATAGTAATATGTTTTCCTATCTATTTACTAATGCTAGCTTAAAAGGGATTAAAAGTAGTTGTTGTTGATTGAGAGAGTGAAGTTTCACTTTAAGGTGGAGAGATGAGCTCATCAGTGTGCTGCTTCTTCTTTCACTTTTCAGACACAGGAAGGGGTTATTATGGATGTGGAGGACAGCTGTAAGTGAAAGTGAAACTTAAGCAGAGAAGGATCAGGTCCCCTCTTGACCTAGACAGGACTGTTTTGCATGGCAGAGCTATGTAAATCTCAAGACTGGATAGAGAGTAATACAAGTCATTTAGCAGGTAAAACGGCTTTCATTCCAACTGAATATTTTTTTAGCTCTACAGTTAAAGTGATTCTAAAGGATCAATTTTTTTTGTTCAAAGCAGCCCTGATCCTACTCTTCTCGGGTCCCCTTCCGATGCTCCTAGCTCCTCCCCCCTTTAATGGCTCCCATAGCAAGCTATGGGGGGCACTTGCTTGGGTTCACTCAAAAACCCTTCTCTGCGTGTCTCCTCACTGGCTGTGTCTTCCACTGCTGTGTCTGAGCCAATGAGGAGGGAGAGAGCCAAGAGTGCCTGGATCAAGATAAGGCTCCAGTAAGTATAAGGGGAGATGGAGACAATCTGGACAGAAGGAGAGTTGACAGCTGGAGATGTATTCCATCTAGTCAGCGACCACCCACCTGGAGGGAGAGGAGCCTGTACGGGAAAGTGCTGATGTTAAACTGCAGTTCCACCTTGGTGAATAAGCCTTCCTGCTGTTGTATCCATCATGTAGGGGGCCTGCTGCTGGGATCCATAGTCTGCCCTGACAATCTGAAGATACCAGCCATGGACTCTGCCAAGTATGGACATATGCCTGTGCAGGGACGCTGGGGTAGCCACAAGCTAGTTAGGGATAGGGGAAAGACTGTTGTTGGAACTACAAAGTTTTTCAGTAAAGCTTTTATACAAGTAACTGGCACATTCTGCACTTAGTCAACAATGTGGGTCGAGTTAAAACACTGGGGTATTAAGATAGCAAGTGGTTACCATGTCATGCCATGTTATGAAGTGTGTACTTGTGAAAGGTGGATGTTTCCGGCATCTCCCATGGCGGTTTGTCTTCCATAGCCACAGGAGCAGATCAGTGCTCAAAGTTTCCCAGCCTGGGCACTAGGTACAGAAGAAGAAGTGTTCATTTAGAGCAGCATAGAGTCAGCGCTAAGGGCTCGACAGGGACAGGTGAAGTGGGCATAGACTCAGCGTATCCCTCCTAAATGCAACAACTTACAATAGTGGTGTACATAGATGCGGGGATGAGAGCGATAACTGGAGGACAGTTTACACAGTTCAAGTGTACACAGTGTACGGCCATCTCTAAAGTTGCAGTTGCACCCTAAGGTTGAGTTTTACCTGAAAGTGGACTCCATCCTCTCCTGGGATATTGAGGAGCGTGGCATAAGTAGAGGTACGCCATGTGCAACCCTTCCTAGGTGCATAGTGTAGCCCAGAAAAACCCTACACCGGTGTAGGTCTCCCACGTGACCCACACTTGGCGCCCAAGGAGAACGGGAACATGGAGAGAGTGTCACCTGCCTTACATACAGCTCCACCATTGACCATAATACTGAAAAACGTGTATTGTAATATTGTACCTTTGACAAAAGGGTCTAATAAGTACTTACCTAGGCAATGGTGTTATGTATGCCATTCAGAATGGTATTTTGTATGTAAATGACAAATGCTTTGTATCAATCTGTAACCTTTGAAAGTCTTATTTTAACGTTTATATATCCCTGAGATCTCTGAGTGATACCTGTGAAGTCTGTTTAGTCTTTTCTTTTTTTTGCCTCTCTTATTTTATACCTTTTGAAGGACTGTGACATGTCAGAGCCAATGTTTCAGGGAAGACTACTACTCATACCTGTAAACAGTTATGCCTGAAGTTCCATAATGGAAAGTTTCTCAATAAGCTGGAAAATACTTCAAGTAATGCACTGTATACTGTATTAGTCACTTTTACAGAAAGTGTTCTCCGTAGTGCTATACAGACTGCACGGCTATTGTTCATTTTTCTGAACTGCTTGAGAGACGTACTAATTTTAGGTCTACTGTTGTAGTTGAGTTTGAAGAGCTGCTTTGGAAGCTTGTGTTTGCCATACGCTATTCTCAGCCTATGCTGCAAACTTTGACTTCACCATTCTCTCTGTAGCAATATGCACTTTCATGTTCAAAGCAAAATGGGTATTTATTTTTCTCTGGTGTTCCATTTTCTCTGCACTGCTAGAAGTGATGGTTCCCCTTTGCATTTCAATTACTTGTTTGCCCAAAAGCTTTAAAAGGGGTTAAGCCAAAGATATACATTTATATATTTTTCATTATCCATGGGCAAGAGCCGAATGGCGCAACTTCCCAATCAAAAGTGTGAACTAGCCTTGGGCTGCTAAACCTGTAAAATATAATTCAAAGAGAAATATGCATTAGGCAATCAAATGTGGTGTGCTGAACATCATAGAATTTATGTTGAAAATTTTCTTGTAGAGCATTGTTCAAACCGTTGAGGATGATAGGATTCTCATTTTTCAAGATTGCCTGCTTTCTCTGTTAGGTAGACAGTATGTTCAGATCTTTCTATATACTGTATAAGTGTGCTGAAGTCATAGTTCCTTTCTGGAACTGTTTTTTTCAGTGTTTTACAATTAAGCCAGCCATAGACAGGCCGAAATTCAGCCAGTTCAGTTGGAACCGACTAAATTTCGATCAATCTATGAGCAGGCTGGTTGTATGGAAGTCAAGCCAACACTAACTGTGTTGGTGGGGGAATCGAGTGATTTTCTTTCCTTCAACCCATGGTGGAAGGAAAGAAAATTGCATAATCTATGGCCAGCCTTAGAAAACACATGGGCCATGTTTATAAAAATCAGGGTTGTCTGAAGGTGTTGCACATGGAAACCATTTAGGTGTCACCCGACATTTTGGCAGGCATCATATAGGTCTAAAAATTATATGTTTATACTATATATACTGCTGTTTTTCTCTCTAGTATTTATTCATGTTGCCCTTTTCCCACTTGTAAAGCTCATCCACAGTTTAAGTGGAATTAAACTCACCCCACCTCTGCCTGTCAGGGCTCCAGGGTATGACCAGAGGTATGTGAACTGACGCAGGGAAACGCAGGCTTCAGATAAGTTATAAACAATATAATTTATTAAAGACTAACAATACAAACATAAACGCAGTGCAATACTAAAACATAACACAGTGCAAACGAACCAAACCACCCACAGATAACAGTACATACAATGCAAGCGTCATCAGGCAGGCCGGGTCAATAACAATCGGGCAGGTAGGTACAGGGGGTCAGGCAGAGAATGGTCGGGGTCACAAGCCAGGGATAAAACAGGAGAAGTCAGCAGAGGTCCGGATCAGGCAGGGTCAGCAACGAATCGGACAGGGACAGGGACAGGAACAGGAACAGGAATTCAGGAACAAGATACAGGGCCCAGGAAACCACACACCAAGGCAGAGACTGCAGGTCTGGCCATCCCTTAAATACACCTGTATAATCAACTTCAGGTGTTTGGCTGGCTGCAGGGTTGAGTCTCTGATTGCTGGGAGCACCCGCTGGCCAGCCCTGGTACTGCAGCCCACAAGGCAGGTGAGTCCCACTATTACTGGCAAGTCCATTCCTGACACTGCCATTAAAATATACAACCTTGGCAAGAAAGCTAAAACAGGGCTTAGTAACTAGTCAAGAAATACACGTGTCATAATTCATCAGCCTACTTTGTAAATATGTAATCCTTTGCCTCTGCACCCCCCCCCCCCCCCACCCCGAAGTCTCCTACAAGTGTGAGTAGTGCTGTGCTTTGTGAATGGTCCCAAAGTCTTCTGGGACCTGTGATGTGTCCCAGAAGGCTGCGGGGGGAAGGGCTGAACTTCCGCACAGATCATTGCAGAGATTTTGCGTAGGATTGGGTACCTGTCAAAAAAGTGCCAAATGTGGCAGTGGAGGAGGGGAGGATGCAAACAAGCAGAATTTCTCCTTTGGGTGAGGTTCTGCATTAATTTGTGTATGTGGTTTTTACAGAAGGCATATCGTTAGCCTAATAGCATATTTTAATTGAATGTTAAACATTTTTACGTTCCCCAACCGCTCCCCCTTAAGAGGCAAAATTGTCTCCCTGCTAAAAAAAGAAAAAAAAAGTGGGGGAGAGGAAGGGAGAAAAAAGGGGGAGAGAAGGGAGAGGAGAAAGAAAAACACAACAAACTCAAAAATATATGAAAAATATTGGGACACCTGCCTTTACACACACCTGAACTTTAATAGCATCCCAGTCTAAAGCCATAGGGTACAATATTGAGTTGGCCAACCCTTTGTAGCTATAACAGCTTGTACTTTTCTGGGAAGGCTGTCCACAAGGTTTAGGAGTGTGTCTATGAGAATGGCTTGCAGTTTTCTCTCTAATTCATCCCAAAGGTGTTCTATCAGGTTTAGGTCAGGACTCTGTGCAGGCCAGTCAAGTTTCTCCAACCCAAACTCGCTCATCCATGTCTTTATGGACCTTGCTTTATGCACTGGTGCGCAGTCATGTTGGAACAAGAAGGGGTCATCCCCAAACTGTTCCCACAAAGCTGGGAGCATACAGTTGTCCATAATGTCTTGGTATGCTGATGCCTTAACAGTCCCCTTCACTGGACTTAACTCCACACCATAATTCCCCCTCCACCAAACATTACACTTGGCACAATGCAATCAGGTCAGTACTGTTCTCCTGGCAACTGCCAAACCAAGACACATCCATCGGAAAAGTGTGATTTGTCACTACAGAGAACCCGTCTCCCCTTCTCTAGAGTCCAGTGGCAGCATGCTTTACACCACTGCACCCAAAGCTTTGGATTGCACTTGGTGATGTAAGGCTTGGATGCAGCTACTCGGCCATGGAAACACATTCCATGAAGCTCTCTACACACTGTTGTTGTGCTAATCTGAAGGTCACATGAAGTTTGGAGGTCTTTAGCTATTGATTCTGCAGACAGTTGGCGACTTCTGCGCACTTCAGCATGCGCTGACCCCGCTCTGTCATTTTATGTGGCCTACCACTTTGTGGCTGAGTTGCTGTTGTTCCCAGTTGCTTCCACTTTGTTATAATACCACTAACAGTTGACTGTGGAATATTTAGTAGTAAGGAAATTTCACTTATGGACTTTTTGCACAGGTGGCAACCTATCACGGTACCACGCTTGAATTCACTGAGCTCCTGAGAGTGACTCATTCTTTCACAAATGTTTGTAGAAGCAGTCTGCATGTCCAGGTGCTTGATTTTATACACCTGTTACCATGGAGGTGATTGGAATCCAATGGTTTAGAGGGATGTCCCAATACCTTGTGCAATATAGTGTATATACTTTTCTTATGTTTTTTTGCATTGTTCATAAGTTTTTTGTTTTTTTTTTTTTCTTTTCTTCTTTCTATCTCTTCCTTCTTCTGGGCATAGACATATTTCTTGTAGATGAATACCAAATTTGTTACTGTTTTTTTAATGTATAATGCACACAACGTTTGGCTAATCTGTATCTTTTTTATATTAATACTTTAGTGGTTATTGTACCTAGAATTAGAGATTTAAGGTTCTGAGGAAGAGGGTCAACCGTGTAATGTGTCGACCTACATTCAAAGATCTCTGATGAAGGACTTCCATACCTAGGTCCTTTCATTGATTTTTGTGGAAGACAACTGGTAGAACTGTTGTCCTGTTCGATATGTGTTATAATGAAAGAGACTGTTTTAAACCGGTTTAATAAAGACATGTAAAAATTATTTTAACATTTGTGTTATGTACATATTTGACCATTGGAGGGGTATTTAAAGTCCCAATATTTGCCTTTCTTTTGTAATGTGCATGATGGGGAGGACACCCTCATATGGTATAACCCACGAGTAATACCACCCCCCTACATTCATGTTGGTTTTTCAAAAAAAGAAAAAAAAATGAACAAATTCCTCTATCCACACAATCAAGATGGATGGAGGAATCCTCACCACTGAGACATATTATTCTGACAGAGGAGACTCTTCCACTTTTAGAATACACTGATCAGTGGCTGCAGTCACTGAACAAGAAAAAATTTATAACATTACTGTTTGATGGAAGCCAATTGTTCTGTCAAGTGGGTACGGCCACACTCGGAAATTCAGTCAGTCCCTGCTGAACTGGCCAGATTGCCTTCCATCTATAGACAATTTATAACTGGCCATAGAGGGTTCATTCTTTTTCAGTCAGCTACTAGGTGATGGAAAAATGAACAAATTCTTCCATTCACACAAGCGAGGTGGATAGAGGAATCCTCCCCTCTGTGCAATTGTTGATTAAGAAATAATTTCCAACATTCCTGTTCAACAGAAGTCAGTTGTTAGACTGGCTTCTTTGGAGCCAGTGCGACCACACATAGATCAAAATTTGATCAGTCCCTGCTAAACTGGCAAATTGTCTTCGACATAAATCAGTGGACCCTGCTTTCAGAGTATACTGACTTGAATGGGCTGACTATTGTATTGCATGACAAATGCACCAAAAGAATCATTCACATATTTTGTCACTCGGAAAATACAACAAAATTAACAACTGCTACCCGCACTTGGGGTGCCATTAAGAAATAACACGCAATAACATGCAGCCTTAGACCTTACAGCAATGAACCGCAATAGCAATTTCACCCAGCATGTGTTCATTTCCAAAGGCCTTTCCCATTTAAAGGTCAACAGAAGACTGAGAGTATCCACCATGGGCTTGCACTCGGAGGAGATGTAACCACAACCCTCGCACACAAATACAGTGGCGCAAGGAAAGACTGATGCCCTGATGCAACCAGCTGAGATTTTGGCTGATGAGATCTGAAGTTTCACTTTGCAGGTTTTGTTGGCTATTTTCTATTTTCGTCTGCTGCTTTTTTTTGATGATTTGATGATGATATTCTATTTATTTATTTTTTCTCTGCCAATGTATAAATTGGTGATGAAAAGCAGTAAAAAACTGTCGATAAACCAGAAAATTTTAAATAATCAGTGCTGTCGTCTTTTGGGAAGCTCCTTATTCAGCTTCCCTCTATTGTAAATAAATAATCACACCAGTTCAGTAGCAAGAAACAAAAGGCAAAATTCAAGAAGAGAAATAATTTTTCCTGCTAATTCCTTTTAGAAAAGGATTGTGTCAGGGAAAAAACCAAAGTGGTAAAACACTGAAATACCAGTTAAAATAAATAGCTTTAGCTATACCTTCAAAAGGGTACTGCCATCTAATCCGTCCCGCCAACAGAGTTTACCTCCACGCACGCTTGCTTTTCTATTCAGTTCACACCACCCTCTACCAGGCCTGGTGCATCCCCATTCCACCCACTCAAACATTAGTAGTCAGCAAAAAGGAGGCTTTACTTAAGGGATGTTCCTGACCTGCACGACAACACCTTAAACTGCTGGGGGAGATAGGAGGAGGAGATTCCAGTTCTGATGTGCAAATATGTTGGAAGCAATAACAGAAATGTCAGCAAGCTGTCTCTATAGCTCTGATTTCCAAGACAAAGCCCAGGACAAGAACATGGTGGAACAACTTTTTAAAAACCGTGACTGTCCTGGCAATTCTGGGACAGTTGGCAAGTATGCAAGGGCATCAATATCTTCCTGTTCATGAAGAAGGTGTCACATAGTAAACTCCACACAAACAAAGGATCTGAGGGATGTGCTGTAGGGGTTTGAAGGGTAATTATGCTCAGTGGATGCACACTTTTACAGCCAACTATGCTGGGTACATCTATATTTCCATATGACAAGTTTCACAATCCAACAGCCAGCATATTGTAAGAATGAGTTACAATTTGTTAAACACCAATTATGATATGGATATAATGCAGATTTCTTTTAAGAGGTCCTCCAAGACCTACTAGACTTTGTAAATAGGGTGTGTTTGGGGTCTCGTTGATCTGTATTTTCTTTACTTTGATGCAACCATTACTGTAAGTATTATGGAGATTGTATGAAATGTTGCTCTGTGCAGTTCAGCTGTAGGTCAGTATAGAGAAACACCCTTAGGATCACAGATGTGTACTACTTACTAGATAGTGTTCACTGCAAGTCACCCATTCTCGTCATTCTCTTCTCACAGTTTGGGGTTCATCAGACCTCACTGTTGTCCATCTACTTGGCAGGGTTGTGCTCTGCTGCAGATCTGTGCAAATCTAAAAACTGGATAGACAGTAGTACAGCTCCCTATATAGGTACTTAATTTGTGCGTTTAGATGTTTGCCTGTACTTAAAGTGATTATAAAGGTTCTTTTTTTTATAAGAAACACATCATACTTACCGTTCCTGCTTTGTGCAATTGTTTTACTCAGAGCAGCCCCCAGCCTCTTCTCTCGGGTCCCCTGCCGGAACTCCTGGCTCCTCCCCCTCGACCAGTGCCCACAGTAGCAAGCCTCTTGCTATGAGGGCACTGGTGCATGCTCACTCCCAAGCCCCTCTCTATGCGTCCATAAGACACATAGAGCTGCGGCTTGGCCCCAACCCCTGCACTGTCTTCATTGGCTCACTGGCCATGATTGACAGCAGTGGGAGCTAGTGGCTTCCGCTGCTGTGTCTCAGCCAATGAGGAGAGAGACCAGGGACAGTTGAGGCTTGCATATACATCGCTGAATCGAGAGGGTTGAGTATTAGGGGGGCTGTGGGGGGGGAGCAGCACACAGAAGGATTTTTACCTTCATGCATAGAATGTATAAAGGTAAAAATCCTTCAACCTTTACAACCACTTTAAATAAAAATTTTGATTGTGCATAGTAGTCACAAATGAAAATGCTAGTTGGCTGCCTATTATTCTGTTTCAATATTTTGAGAGCCATTAACCCAACACAAGTACAGAATTAAAGAACTCAAAACTTTCCTTGATTTAATTAGCTACATGTTTTTTTCTAGGCCTCTCAGAAGCATTGAACCAAACACAACCAGGCAACTAGTATTTTTAGAAACAGTCTAACTCTGGCAGCTGCCATATTTCATTCATGACGGGTGTGATTTATCTAATGTCAGATAAGCGCTTCCTGATTTCCGTGTTCCAGGTTTGCTTGGTTCTGTTTTCTCCGGTCGTGTTCTTCTACCATCTTTTCTCTTATCTTTCTGGAACTTATTTTTTTTTTACCATGTCAATCAGCACAATGACAAGCAAGGTTGAAGATTCTCATGTATGGATTTGTCCATTTACCTTTCAAAGGAAGCCAGTAGCAGCTATTGAACTGACTGGCTTTGGCAGGTAAAGTGAGGGATATTTTATTCTCTGTTCTGAAAAACAAACCATTCCTCTTGTGTGTTTGTAAAATAAAGATGTTGAGATGGAATGGATGTATATAATGTTTTTTAATGTGGTTGTTACCCAGCTGTCAGACTTCAGGGGGCCTCACCTCTTACTTTTATCTCCAAGTGTCAGCCTCATACAGAGCAAAACAAACTACACTTACTTTTTAATATATTTATAAAACTATATAGGGTCTGGGATTTCAGTCTTTGCAGATGACACCAAGCTGTGCAGTGGAATAATGTCCTTACAGGATGTCTCCAACTTACAAGCCAACCTCAATGCACTGTGTAGTTGGGCAAATATGTGGCAAATGAGGTTTAATATTGATAAATGTAAGGTTCTGCACTTGGGGGCTAAGAATATGCATGCATCATACATACCGGGGGGGGGGGTACAACTGGGGCAATCAATGGTGGAGAAGGATCCGGGGGTTCTGGTAGATCACAAGCTTAATAATGGCATGCAATGCCAAGCTGCAGTTTCTGAAGCGAGCAAAATCCTCTCTTGTATTAAAAGAGGTATAGACTCCAGAGAGAGAGATATCATATTACCCCCCGGTACAAATCATTAGTAAGACCTCATCTGGAATATGCAGTTCAGTTTTGGGCACCAATTCACAAAAAGAACATTGGGGAACTGGAGAAAGTACAAAGAAGGGCAACCAACTGATAAGAGGTATGGAGGAGCTCAGCTATGAGGAAAGATTAGAGGAACTGAATTTATTCTCTCTTGAGAAGAGGAGATTAAGGGGGGATATGATCAACATGTATAAATACATCAGTGGTTCATATAGTGAACTCGGTGTAGAGCTATTCACCCTGAGGTCATCACAGAGGACAAAGGGGCACTCTTTACGTCTGGAGGAAAAGAAATTTAATCTCCAAACACGGAAAGGTTTCTTCACAGTGAGAGCTGTGAAAATGTGAAATAGACTCCCCTCAAGAGTTGGTTCTGGCCAGCTCAGTGGA